TTGAATAAGAAAAATTTTATTCATGTAGGCACAAGATAAAATACATCAATTGTTTTAAAATTTAAGAGAGAGTGAGATCTCCATTAGCATTGCTTGCATAAAATTCAAATTCGTATTTGATTACAACATTGTTCCATCTCTCTTTGTTTCTATCAAGAATATTTTTTGGCCTTGAAAATACATGGGCAAGATGCTCTCATGCCTTTCACTTCATGGCTTTGAAACCAAATACCTTCATCACCGCACTTCAAACCAGAGGCTCTACTCTCACTGCCCTATATAGTTCCCCATTCCAAATATGCTGGGTATGCTGTGAATCTCCCAATTCTTGATCCTAATTCTTCAAGTCTAGCCAGGCAAAGAATTTATCAAACAAATAAAACCATTACTCAATAGAATTTAATCCTTTAGCTATGAAAAGTACAAGAAATCATCAAATAAACAAAACTATTACTCCAACCTTTCCTATCATCAGATAATTATTGCACTGAAAATAACAATAAATCATTCACTTGATCCAAAATTTAATCCTTTAAGTATGAAAAGAATTGCAGGATCAAGGAAAAAATAGAATCAAAACATGAAAATATTTTCAAACATTTGGACTGTGCAATAAAATGAAAATAATCATTTTTTGAATATATAAGGCCAAGCCCTTCTAGGAAGATAACATTATTTAAGTAGCAAGTAAATATGGATTCAAAAGAAATCAAGCCATGAAAGAACTTTGTGACAGAGACCCAATTCAAGAAGAGATATAAATTGAAGCATAAAAAGAAATTCGTTGGAGCAAATAAGTGACCTACATAACCTTTAGTGCAACAAAAAAATCCCAAGTTTTTATAAAGGAACATCACGGATTTGTAAGTGACCAAGGTATCATAAATTGAATGCCTATACTTGGAGACGATTGATTCTATTTTGGGAGAAGGTGATCTCTTATTTGTTACTTCTTTTCTATGTTCACAAGGCATCATAAGCTGCATTCGATGGGTGGCATTTTCAGAATTCCTGAATAAACCCAAATACAATGAAAAACCAAAATGAAGAAAGAATCCTACACCAACAAATCAGTCAACATATAGATCAACAAACCCAAATACAGTGAAAAATCAAAATGAACAAAGAACCCGACACCAACAAATTACAAACCCAAATATAATGAAAAATCAAACTGAAGAGAGAACCCAACACCAACAAATCAATCAACACATAGATCAACAGAGTAAATTCTAAAACAAATCCAAAAAATAAAACAGAAAAAAAGGAAAAGAAATAGCATTGAGTGTAGCATTCGTACCTGGTGTGATCGGAGATATCCATAGCTGGGATCACATGAAGGTGAAAATTAAGGTTTTCTCGAGGTACAAACTAAGGTGTCTATCTGTAAAAAAAATGCCAAAAAGAAATGGCGGCCTTGGCAAGGAGAGAGAGAGGAGACTATCTCAAGTAAAAATAAATCCTACCAAAATCGCACCCAAAAAACAAAAATACAGAAAGTTACCAAACTCTCATATCTTTCAACAAAAAAGAAAGATCTAAAATCTTACCCAAATAAAGTTATTAAAATCTCACCCAAAAAAGAAAAAATTCCTTGTGCAGGAGAACACTTCCATTTTTGCTAGGCATTTTGGCATTTTTTTGTGATCAAGAGAGAGAGAGAGAGAGCTGGGGAGGGCAAGGAGAGAGATCAAGAGAGCTGGGGAGGGTAAGGAGAGAGATAAAATAGAAAGGCGTGTGGGAGAGAAAGGATTGAGATGAACTTTAAATTTTAAAATTCAAAAATTACCTCATTGGAGTACGTTTTTTCAATTTTGAAGTAAAGGTCACAAATGCCCTTCAATAGGTTTTGGTGTTCAATTAATAAGGGCAATAAAATAAAAAATGAGGTTCACAACTTATTCTAACTTGTACTTGTTATTTTTGGGGTTGTTAATCCTAAAAAATTCATATATATATATATATATATCAAACATGAATTTTTTTTTTCCCTTACTTTTAAAAGATGGTTTGTCTTTTAAAAATTTTTTGAAAAATTTCTCTTTATATATATATATATATACTATGAGACCTTCCCACACCCATGTTATAACTTTTTTAGAGATCTGTATCAAAATTTAATGGTGATCCTTTGAGATCCTACTCACATGGGTCTAGAAAGGTCTTATAGTATCATTACTATATATAATGGGCTAATCCCAGCTTTTTTATTTTATATATATATATATATATATATATATATATATATATATATATA